TCATAGGCTGAGAATGCGCTACCACCTCTTTCAAGCAGATTTGCTGCCGCGACGAAGCCCCGCTTCCATTAAGCGAGCGAAAAGGCGGGGTGTAGAACCAGATTGCCTATAAATACCGATCTCTCGGGTGTAGAAGAATTCGTTAATTCGTGTCGAGCCGTTACACGTGATCACTGTCATGTCTGGGCGTGGCAAAGGTGGTAAAGCCAGACTGGAGATAAGGCGAAGTCAAGGTCGTCTCGCGCCGGTCTCTAGTTCTCTGTTGAGAGAATTTGCTCCGGTCTATCTTGCAGCTGGTTCTGGAATATCTGGCTGCGGAAGTGCTGGAGTTAGCTGGTAGTGCTGCTCGTGACAACAAGAAGACCAGGACCAACCCGTGCCATGTGCAGCTTGCCGTGCGTAATGACGAGGAGCTCAGCAAGCTGTTGTTGGGGGTGACCATCGCCCAAGGTGGAGTTCTGCGCAATATCCAGGCTGTACTGCTCCCCAAGAAGACCGGTGGAGAGAGAGTAAAGCTTGAGCTTCGATCTAAAAATTGACCCAACGGCCCTCTTTAGGGCCACAAATGATGACTAATTGCTTAAATTTATTGTTGTGGTAATAAAATGTTTCTATTCGTTTTTTCTTAACGTCACATTCACATTGGTTACTACTGTTCTATCGTACTCTAAGGTTTGACGTGAGAGATTAGGGAGTAGCAGTTACCAGATGAGTGCAAGTTCTCAAGTATTTGGAGGTAAGAGTGAGTGGTTCTATAACGGAAATGTGTGAGTCATTCAAAGGAGGATTGTAAGTCATACATGCCTTGCTCCCTAGGTACATTCCCGCTGTGTGGGTGACCCGAAAAGCTGGCAGAGTCGACCCTCTTTGACCACTGCGACACCCAACAATTGTGCGTGTTCGACTTTTGGCGCGAAGCCAACGGCATCCATTGCGGACGCGTTTTTTGCACTGCGTTGTGTAATCACACTAGAGTGCGAACAGTTGGGCTTGTGTGGGTTCAACACAAGAATGGTATGCGGGGTTACACATGACGTAGGCGCTATTACGAAGGCTCCACACAACCAACCTATAGGTGATTTCGGAAGACAGCGATTATCTAGCGGAGAGAGACAAAGTCAGGCTAAGGCAGAAGTCTCTCACTTGATCGAAATGGCTGAAATCGTTTTGTCATAATGCAAATCCCACTCGATTTCTTCGGTTTAGAACGCTTAACTGGTGGTTCTATCGGAAAGATTCACAGTAGCAAAGCACTTGCGAAATAAACTGGAGTCCCAGCGTGAGGACCTAACACGTGTCTGTGTACGAGACGCTCGGTCAGCGCTCCTCATGCCGCTCTTGTGAGTTGGTTCGCTATCGTCGAGTGTCCGAACGCGGTAAGGGAGGCTACGGGCCCGGCAAAGAAGGTACTGAACGCCATGGCAAAGCGCTCTGTGATGACAACCAAAGAATCTGAAGGTGCAGAGCGCATCTCAGAACTGACTATGAGGAAACTCGTGGTGTTCTCGAGATCTTCCTCAAGAACGTCATCAGAGATGCTGTCACCTACTGTGAACACGCGAAGAGAAGGACCGTCACTGCCATGGATGTCGTCTACATTCTGAAACGTCAAGAATGCACGTTCTACGGATTCGGTAGATAAGAAAACCGATCCGAATAAGTAAGTCTAACTCGACGGCCCTCTTTGAGACCCCATGGACGCACTTGAAATGTGTCGACGTGGGCGCAGTGTAATATACTCGTTGAAATAAAGGTTTTTACTCAGCATGTTTCATCATCATGCTATCCACGATTTGTAGTCGAGTAGAGAATTTAGCAAGAATCAACAGTAGTTACTGAGTCAACATCTGGTGAAGAATGTAGGCGTGAAATGTGCTGCTTAAAATGCTGATGAGTGATGATTGAATCATTACAAGAGTCAAACAAACTAGTGACCAAAGCTGAAGAAAGAAGTGTGCAACCGAGTGTTGTCCTAAATATATCGCAAAGGTTTTTAGTTGATCTAACGATCCCTACCTCCTTCGCCTATGATATATCGAGATAAGATGAGCTCGCTTCATGAATACCTAAGAGAATTGAGTGGTAAGCCAAATATTCGACCTCAGACGGGAGTTGATATGTGCTTACTGAAAAAACCTGTCAAGAGTTGGCGGTTGACAGCTATGATAGAGACATTGATGAATTAGTGGTAGCGAAACGGTGGCTCTGTGGTGTTGTGGTCATACACGGCCACCGATATGGGTGAGACACGGGTTCAACTCCCATGTGAGGTCAAGTTTTTGCTCATCACTCCATTCTCTAAGGTAGTCATAAGACATCATAACACTGCGCAAAAGCAGTAAAAACATAAGAAATCATGTGTATAAGCTCGATTATTCAGAGGTTTCCGCAGCTGTGTCGATTGTATGCCATCAGGATCCGAATAACTAAAGAGTGGGTCCCTTTGTAGTGTTCGATTTATCGATTTCCCTTACAAAACAGCTCTCTTGTTAACAGCTATGGCATGACTCAGAGCTGTCCAAAATTCTCCAAGGTCCCTTACGCCAAGGCTTTAATACATCTCACCGTGTTGCATGAACTACCGACATAGGCCTGCCACTGCTCCGATGTTTATTGTAAAATCACAGAAATCATTATCGCAATAGAACATTTAGTAGATCAGATGAGATAGCAATAGGATTTCTGTGGGAAGAGATAGAATCAAGTCATCAACTTATATACCCGAAGATGCTGAGTGTAGAAATAAATTTCCAAGGTTAGAATTAGTGGACAACACTAAAAACCCTTGTATTCATTATCATCCTCCTATTACTCTGAAACAGCCATAAGAACAACAGATCTTGACTCCATCTCTGAAGGTAATCTTTAGCTCATAAAGCGAACGATGTGTCACCTTTTCTACAAGTTAGCGCCAAGAAAGAAAACAACTCTTCATTGAAACGGTTTCTTAAGGAACGTAGTAAAGGACGAGTAAAAGACGACTGTGGCCTTAAGAGAGTCGTTAGGTCAGTATTTTAGTCGAGGGCTCAAATTTTACTTCTTCTCTTCACCGGTCTTCTTGAGGAGTAGTACAGCCTGGATGCTCGGCAGAACTCCACCTTGGGAGATGGTCACTCCTGACAACAGCTTGTTGAGCTCCTCGTCAATACGCACGGCAAGCTGCAGATGACGCGGGTTGATCTTGGTCTTCATGTTTTCAAGCGCTGCGTTCCCAGCCAACTCTACCACTTCTGTAGCGAAATATTCCAGAGAAGCTGTCAGATAGGAGGGACTCCACCACAAACTCTGCTGGCGTAGTTGCTTTTGCGCAGCATCCGATGAATCCGTCCAATGGGAAAATGGAGACCGGCGCGAGACGATCTTGACTTCGCCTTGCCTCCAGTCTTGGTTTTGCCTGCTCTACCACATTTAGGCATGACAACGACCACCATCAAGGAGTACCACTGGAACTCACGGATGCATGCACATTGGCTAGATTGATATTTATAGACAACGTGCTTCTGCACTCCGCCTTCATTGATCGGGTGCGAATGCGGAGCATCATCGCGGCAGTGCTATAAAATTGGTCGAAAAGAAACATCCTTGTTCGCAGTATCTGTGAGGGCTCGTCATGGCACCAAAACCGTCCACCAATGGAGCCAAGAAGGCCGCTAGAGTCAGAAGGCCAGTTGCACCGCAGACAAGGAGAAGAAGCATCGCCGGAAGGAGAGCTATTCAGTCTACATCTACCGTGTGCTGAACCAGGTCCATCCCGATACTGGCGTGTCCCCTCGAAAGAATGTCGATCATGAACTCGTTCGTGAACGTTTTTGAATGCATTTCTGCCTAGGTATCACGTCTAGCAGAGCGCATGTGGCGCAGTGGTTAGAGGTGCCCTGCGTCGCACACGAGGTCAATGGTTCGATCTCGCGCTCATGGCTCACCAAGCCATCCATCCCTCCGGGGTCGATAAATTGGTACCAGACAGGTCTCAGACTTGTCTGGGAGGATAAGCAGCACTGACTCGGTTCAGCGGGAGGCCACCGCGAGTCATTGTAAAGGCCAGATGTGCATTCAATCACCTCAAACGAAATTAAAAATTGAAGTCGAATGCATGGCGCATCCCTCAGGGATTGATCAACGCCGAGAGCTTTATCCTTTTATCACGTCTAGCACGCTGCTACAAGCGGTCCCACGATCCCACCTTGTAAAATCCTGACGGCTGTCGGACCAATTTTGCCTGGAGAGCTCGCAAAGCATGCTGTGTCGGAAGGAACTAAGGCGGTGACAAAGTACACTTCTAGCAAGTAAATCTGGCACAAGGCGCGCACTTAATTGACCCAACGGCCTTCTTCAGGGCCACAATCAATGCTAGATATTTGTGTGGCTCTCATGTTGAGTAAATAAATATGTTTGTTCTCTTTCTTTTCCTTTTCATATCTCACTTAATCGGCTGGTTTCACAGCCGAGAGTTTGAATTGGTCAAAGGGTTTTTTCTTCTCGCAAGGTAATGTAGCCGAGAGTTTGAATTGCTTTAGGATTTTTTTTCTCGCAAGGTAATGTAACTTCCGGGTTGCCAACGAGAGCTGTCCCTCGGACGCCAGGTGGCCGTGCGCGCCCGGATTCTGTATAGCTCGATAGCGGACGTGTGCACGCGTTAGGCTGTGTGACCTAAAGTTCTTATATTTGGGTTGGTATGGCTTCAGAACGGGGGTTATAGGCGCAGCTTCAATTGGCAAGAATGGCCATGATTGGTCCAGGGAAGTAACCGATAGATAATTTGGTAAGGCACTAATGATTTAGGCTCAAGGCACTAACGCTATCAAACGATTGGGTGAGACTAAGTAAGACTTAGATGATGTGTCGTTTGTTCGAAACAGTATTTCAATACACGAAGGGAAAGCGGCAGGAATCCGTGTTATTCCCCTAATCGAGGTTGTTTCATTGTTACCAATGATTCGTGCGGTGTCCACCGTATTTGGTTCCTAATGCTTCATAGAATTGAGTGGTTAGCAAAAATTTGACCTCAGCGGGAGTTGAACCCGCGTTTTACCCATACCGGGGACCCGCGCTACCACTACACAGCCGAGGTCGACGCTTAGCCACCACTCATTCTTTCTGATTTCTAATATCATGCAGCCCCATATCGTTCGCCACTTAAACCCACCTGCTGTTCGACGTCGTATAAGGGATTCCCTTTCTCTCAATTCCTTCAGCTTTGCCGCTTCAATGTGGCACTTCCTATAGAAATCGAATCGCCCTCATTACACCCGATTAGTGCTTAGTATTGTAAAAGCGATGTCATCAATACAGTGAAGTTGTTCTGACTTTCATCGACTAACTGTCACTCTCTGATGCCTTCTCTAATTAAAATTTATAGTGAATAATTTAATTCAACTAGTATCATCTTAGGATCTCCCTACGATGAGTTCGGCGTCGTTGTAGAGCAATGAAACCCTTATCATGTACTATCTAGACTCAGACCGTACTATGTTCCAACGATCTACTTCCTGGCCAACTAAATGAAAATCCATGTAAAGTATACCACGAGAGTACAGAGACACGAATAAATCTTAAATCGTGAGATAGCATCGAATCACGTAGAAAATAGAGTTAAAACTTATTAAAGAATTATGGCTGATAAGTGAGGAATAAATTGTCGAGAGGAGTGCTTGGAAGTTTTTTAAATCTGTTCAATAGAAAACAATTTTTTGAACGAGGCGAGGCCAAGCCCATGTGGCGGTATTGCAGAGATCCACGACTTTTTGAAGAGTCGAACTTTTCTTCCAGCACAAATCGGCGAATTACAGCACTCTCTTCCGATCTACAATAAAGATATAAATGGCTATTGATTGATATAACTTTACTTCAGTTTCGCTTATTGATCGGCATGATTTCTATTGATACTATCGGTTATTTGTCGATGACAAGGCATTTCAGAGACTTCAGTTATGAGAATATGGATAATTCAATAATGCTAGAGGGAGATGCGAAAGGTTGCTCTTACATATACAATTACGCAGTCCATTTATCACATTAAGGACGTCAAAGACAGAAATTCCAATGTTTGCTACTTCTTTCAACATTATAAGACACGGTTTTGGTAGAGTTTCCAGATCAATCCTACCAACGGTGTATCAAGGTTATCAATGCGAATGTTAGCCGTTAGACTGCCGTCCCGATGGTCGTCGAGTGACTCGAGTGGGTACCAGCAACACTTTCATTTTTATCCTGTCGCGTGCAAGAGTAGTCCAGTGGGTTCCTTCTCGCTTCAGGGATGCGCTGAGCATCATATCTTTCTTCTATACCTTTCGTGAAGAAATCGGATCAACAGGTCGGTGGTCTTTCTGTAGAGCGCTTGATGTTCCGAGGAATCCAGTCGGTAACGGCTCTTGTCCGTCGGTTGTCGTTGAAGCGCATCACGTGTCCCGGCCCACATTATTTTCGATATCCTGGCGTGTAGAACGGCGTCTCTGATTTTCGATCGTTGACGTGAGTCGGAACTTCGAATCCTTTCACTCATTTGCGAGAAACGGGATGCTCCTAGCATCGACCTTTTGCGCACACGATAACGCCAAGTGATTTTCCATCCTGCTTACGTAGTGACCACGTTTCTGCTGCATACGTCACGGTAAGGATAATCGTCGGGCACCCCAAAAAATCTTGTGAACGGGGAAAAGATTTGCTGACGAATGAGTTATTCAGAAAGCAGTGATATTTAATATGGGTTTTGGGCCGTACTTGTTTTTCTGATGACATTGTGGAACTACGTCAGTGCTTGAGAATATCACTTCCATAGAGATCAATTTAACTCTCAAAGGCCTCTTTTATGACCACAATGTAGTAAAAAGAGTTCAACAGCGTAACCAAGTATATCCACTCAGATATGAATATCTAATCTCTTCTGTTTTATACGTTCAGTGTGTAAAAATTCCTAAAATCTCTATTAATCATTAGATACTTCCATTAATATTGATTAAACATGCAGCCCTGTAAGCGGTGAAATGCGAGTTCGCGTCCCGTCTGACGTCAAAGTTTTGCTCATCAGTAAACGTCTTTGGGTGCACCTACAACATCCTAAAAGGACAAAGCTCTCAGCGGATCAATCCCTCAGGGATGCGCCATGCATTCGTATTTGATTTTTATCTCGGTTGGAGGTGATTGAATGTATATCTAGCCTTTACAAGAACTCGCGGTGGCCTCCGGCTGTATCGAGTCAGTGCTGCATATCCTCTCAGAAAGGTCTGCGACCAGTTCGGTAGCGATTTGCCGACTCCGGTAGGATGGATGGTCTGGTGAGACATGGACGCGAGATCAAACCACTGACATCGTGTACGACCCAGAGCACCTCTAACCACAACGCTATTCGTGGTGTCTATAAAATCATTCCATCAATAAAAGCGGTTAAATAAAAAAAAAATCGTAACAAAATCTCCATTATTTTACCGCCTTTAGCGGTAGCATCATTTCCTGATATACCCACTGATGTAGAGTAACGTGCAAAACATTCGCGCTAGCTGGGACTCGAACCCGCATCTTATTTCGTCCGAAAGCGCGCTCTAACCCTTAGCGCTACTGATGCCCGTTTTCCCACCACTCTTTTTACGCTATAACTTATCTACCTAAGTCAGACCGTTGACGGTTGGTTGCTGCAGAAAGATGCGTTGTAGCGCAGAGTGGTGGCAAAACGGGCGACACTATTTAACGGATAGATCACGCGTTCCCGGAAAGAGTGAGGTGCGGGTTTCTAGCCCTGTCTGACGCGGAAGTTTTGCGCATTACCTTACATTACCTTAAGTCTTCATACGGACAAGTGATCGATCAACGGTCCTAATGTAACCTTTTACATTTCATGAAGTAGTGTATCTAGGGAATTGGGCGCACATCCGAAATGAAATGAGAAATTAATACAAAACCAAAATCAAAGAATTCAACAATCAAGTGAAGATAAGCATGGAACGCATGTGGCGCAGTTGTTGGAGGGGCTCCGCGTCGCACACAAGATGGATGGTTCCATCTCGCGCTCATGGCTCACCACGCCATCCATCCTTCCGGGGATGGTAAATTGGTACCGAGCTGATCGCAGACTTGTCTGGGAGGATAGCCAGCATTGACTCGATGCAGCGGAAGGCCATCGCGAGTCATTGTAAAGTTCAGATATGCATTCAATCATCTCAAACAAAGCTAGAAATTGAAGACGAATGCATGGCGCATTACTCAGGGATTGGTCAACGCCGAGAGCTTTATCCTTCACTTTACTTTAGAAATAAATATGGAGCTCTTGACGTGAATCAACTTACTCGATATAAGTTATAAATTCTAGTTTGTTCCTAACATCGCAGAAGTGGACGAACACATACTTTGTTTGTACAATATTTCCGTAGGCCTCATATATTTTATCTTCTTACGATGACTTGAGTCAATGCTTTTTTAGGTCTTCAATACAAGTGCGGCACCGATTGAGCGATCCTGTTAGAAGGATTTGGAGCTTGGTTTGTCCGCGGCGCAGGATCAATCCTACAATTCTGGGTGTGTAATGGTAGTTCTAACCACTGCGCTGCAAAGCACCCTGGTACCTCTCTCCACGTTTACTGTGCAAATATTAGCACTTCCTATTTTCGATTCATTACCTCGCATCCAGGATGCTGTTCTACACGCGAGGCTATCCTTCATAAAGTGGGGCCGGACACGTAATGCGCTTCAACGACAACCGATGAACGAGAGCCGTTACCGACTGGGCTATTCGGGATATCAAGCGCTCTACAGGAAGACCAGTGACCCGTTGGTCCATTTCTTCACGAAAGCTATAGAAGAAAGATGTGATGCTCAGCGAATCTCTATAGCGAGGAGGATCCACTGAGCTCCTCTTGCACGCGATAGGCAAAAAGGAAGTGTTGCTGGTGCCCGCTCGAGTCACTCGAGGGACGACAGTTGATACGAATGATACCCTCGCATCCATTGTCCATTAAGGTATCAGAATTCTTCCTGCATAAATTCGTCCGCTACTGCGGCTTTAGGAATTGCCATCCTTTCCATAAATTTCGTTGAATGCTAGTCAAGTCGATTTCTCGGGAGTTTTGACATACCTGAACCAGAATATTCTCGTTTGTATAACACCGAGTAAACTGTTATCAGACAAGGCTGATACCAATGGCCGATGCTTGGTGATGAGAGACTGGCGAGGCTTATGCCGTCGGTTCAAACCGCAGCACTGGGATTGTTGCGAAACGGCATCACTTCCACTGCGCTACAAGACCCCACCATGATCAAATAGCAGCCTATCTAACCTTCAACACATTCACTCTCTCGATAGCGGTGTCATCGACTTCATCAATACTGATCCAGTTCCGAAGGTGGCGCAACATATAGCTGAAGGTTTCAAGCATATTCTGAACGACTTGCATTTGATGCCTAAGAAAAAGTGCTACAGATAGGAAGGACGATCACATATGAGCAGATATTCTTAGTCCTTCTACCTACAAAATGTGCCGAAGGGCGATTTCACACCAATACTTTTAGACAGTTTATTATCCGCCTAGGTTCTTTCCGTTTGATAGCACAGATTTCCAACCCTATCCCTTGAGCTGGACAAGAACTTTTTACAAAGAGTGTTAGTAATCATTCAAAAGTTTAAGTCTCTAATGCTGTACGTGGTCGTTTTTATGTAGATATGCTCTTTTATGACGCTGTAAAAATCAAAATAAAATCATGTTTCACATGCTCACGCAAATCAACCACTGCTTCGCTGAAAGCACGAAAATCATATTGACGTGCAGAGGAAATCTCTTAGCTTTGAAGTTAGACGTTCAATCTGACGTTTCCTTCCAAAGCAGAGAAACAATTCCTCAATCTCCGCCCCGCCCTGCAGCCCGTGAATTGGCCAAAAAAAACTTGCTCGGGTGTATGAATTAATCTTATTTTTCCTGCTACACCGCATAGAAACGGTTTTACCAGAAAATAAGCACAACATTGAAACAGCAAAACTTATGCTATCGAATAGTTACTAGCAGTCCAAAGAATGAGCTTTCTCTTGTGAGAAAAACGCGTGTGTGAAACATTAATGTTTTCACTTCTTATTGAAGCGTTATAACGGCAATTTTTCCAAAAGAGCGGCCACGTACAGGGCTAGTCCAGAGGTTCGAATTTTCATGGAAAGTTCTTGTTCAGCGTAAGGGATAGGTTTGAAAACCTGTGCTATCAGACGGAAAAGTACTTCCGCCTTCATAGTGTGTCTTTTAACTGTACGGATCCCAAAACCTTTAGCATTCCATCGTTTTTTTCGCCTTCTTCTTGAACATCGTAGAATACTGGTCGAGTGTGTCTCCTTGCAATCTCGAAGGATAGCCCGGCTGTGGTGTTCCATAGGGCGTTAGTTGTCAACTGCCAAAGAGTGCTAAGGAGATAGGGTTCGGCCCCAAGCGCGGCGCCACGAGCATCACAACCACTCGGCTACGGCGCTCCTACATCTATACTAACAAAGCGAATTATCAGGCATTGCATAGACCCTCACAAGAAACCTGTGCTACCGTAAAACTCTTCAAACTCTATAAAAACTCTACAAACTCCATTTCTCTACACTATTTAGACGACAACGAGTAACTAACGAGTAAGAATTAGCGGAGAACGGTTCTACTCGGTTATGAGAAGGCAAGTGAAAAACCGACCTCATTCGCTGGACAGGAAACTTTCATAGGAGTGTTGATAACCATTCGGAAGCTGAGACTTCTGGCCACAACCCACATCGTCGGTTTACGAAAAGACCCTTTTATAACGCTGTAAAATCCACACAAAGCTATGTCTTCAGGCGATCGTATTTCTCGCCGCACCAGAGCACTTTCTTTGGACTGTAGTAATCACTCGATAGCGTAATCGTTTTCAATTCCAATGCTGTGCTTATATCCTAGCAAGACCCTTTCTGTGCAACGCTGCAGGTAAACTGAGGAATCTCCTTCTGTAGACAACGTCAAAAAAGGCTTTTCCGAAAACGGCAAAGTTGGGCTGGTGGCCGAAATCTCAGCTTTCGAATGGTTACCAACACTGGAAGAGTCCCTATCCAGGGAATGAGGTCGCTTTTTCATTTGTCTTCCCTCTCATAACCGATTAGATCCTCGAGAAGCTCTAGACACCTTGTAACAGAATTTATTAATATACCTGTACTACCTTGATCTTTTTCAGTATGAATTCGAGGTGTGTTGAATGGTTTTCGCCGACTGGAATCGAGCCACATTCTGGAAGGTTTGTGATTCGTTAGAAGAAGACAGGCTCCACTTTGAAGTAGCCCTGGGATTTGGAAAAGTCGTGTTTCGACGAGAGAAAAAGCCTAGAAAGACTTCTCGTTTCCTTTATTTCCACCTTTTTATTAATTCAATTTTATTTTTTTGTACTATTTTTTCTTGCTTTTTCTTCCTCATCTCTATTTCCTTCGTATTTTTCCACAATGCTTTAGATAAATCGCACATTCACAAGTTTACAATTATCATGCGTACTTCTAGAGTAAAGCTCCGAAATTCTAGTATTTTTACGGCCTTTTTCGCAGTGCTATGATGCTACATATATAACCTAAGAAAATTGAGTAGTGAGCAAAAACGCGGCCTCAAGCGGGAATCGAACCCGCGTTTCATCCATACCATTCGCATATCCGATCAAACCTGTTGAGTTGGTGGCTGATAGCTAACAGAGAGGTGTTGAAGAATGAGTGATGGCGCAAATGTGCCTCGGTGATGTAGTCATTGTAGTACGCGTCCTCGTATGGATAAAACTGCGGGTTCTAGTTTCCGCCTGAGGTGGGAGCAAATGTGCCTCGGTGTGTAGTCGTGGTAGCACGCGTCCTCGTATGGATGAAACGAAGATGCGCCCGGTGGTGTAGTCGTTGTAGCACGCGTCCTCGGTATGGATGAAACGCGGGTTCTATTTCCGCCTGAGGTGGAGCAGATGTGCCTCGGTGGTGTGAGTCGTTGTAGCACGCGTCCTCGGTATGGATGAAACGCGGGTTCGATTCCCGCTTGAGGCCGTGTTTTTGCTCACCACTCAATTCTCGTCGGAATATCAAAGTAAAGCCTCCAAAAGGACACGTTTGAAAACGGGTGAAGCCTAGGCTTGCTAACAACATCAATATGACTCAACAGCAAATCGGCTAAAGAAACTTCTAAGGATGGCAAAGGAAAAAACAATACACTTGTGCTGAACGGGTATCACAAATGAGTTTGAATCGTCATAATTCCGCCATTTTGTATGAGGGTCTTCGATACGAAAATCGGATTACGGTCGGCGATTGCCACGTTTTGTGCTCCGAGGTTCAATTGTGATTGGAGCGAGGTTTTTCTATGGTGACGTCCAGACGGTCTCGTTGTTGGGGATCGTATTGCTTCTCGGAATAGTATCTACAGCTTCGGTCGATTTTCCGGTCAACGGCGCTATCGTTTTGCTGTCCATCCGAAAGGTTTGTCAGTTCGAATCCTAGATTTTCCATGATTTAAGTCGATTTAGTGCTTTTTCTCGGCTAGTGATTTCTCGCCGGTTACTGAATTTCCCACAAAATTCCGCCTAGAATTTCGTTTTGAGGCGATAACAGCTTCGACAAATGTGTTCTGAAAGCGCCTGAGGTCAATAGAAAATCGGTTGTAGGAGGCGTTCGCGAAATAATTTCGTATTTCGGTGGTGCAACGGTTAGCATACGCTCCCCGCGAAGAGTGAGATCTGGGTTCAAATCCCGGCTGACGCAAATGTTTTTGCACAGCACTCCACATCATTGGATAAACCTTAACATCATACCACTGCAAGTGGCAGTCAAATAAAAGGAATTTTTGAATCCCATATTTCTTGATGAACGCCCGACCACGAATCACTGGTTCCAACTTTGTAAACTCGTGGATTTTGATTCCGATTTTATAGTTTTTTTTCAGTTTTTCCAATTCTTTCTTGTTATTTTGTTGTTGACGACACATGTGTTCTGCTTAAAAGAAAATTCCGAAAGATATACTCAATGCATGGCCGCATTTTGCGCAGAGGTTAGAGGTGGTGTTCTGCGTCGCACACAAGGTCGTCGGTTCGATCTCGCGCTCGTCTCTCACCAAGCCATCCATCCCTCCAGGGCCGCTGAATTGCTACCGGACAAGACAATTCTCAGACTTGTCGGGGAGGATAAGCAGCACCGACTCGGTAAAGCAGGAGGCCACCGAGAGTCCTTGTAAAGGCGAGATATGCATTTAATCACCTCAAACGAAGTTAAAAATTGAAGACGAATGCTTAGCGCATCCCTCAGGGACTGATCAACTCCGAGCTTTGTCTCTTCATACTCAGTGCCGTTGACGGCCTTTTGTTGAGAGTTTTCACTCCTTTTTCTTGAGGTGTCCTTGTTTCAATCAAGTTTCTATCATTTATTTTGCCTTTGTAGCTTCGCTACGACTACATCGTGGACTTCGTTTGCCTTTTCTTCACAATTCTGACGAATGGCAAATTTTGGAAGTGCTGCGGTCGATATTGACATAGTAAGTTTGTTCCTTAAATAATAGTTTTTCTGCTCCTTGCATAGGAATGTGCTTTTGGTCTGTTGATTACACCTGTTAATTTAATAATAGTTTTCTTTTTTAACAACTCGAAAAACTGACTTATTTGAAACCTCAGCATGTTAATAATGTAGACTTTCAAAAATGAGAAGAAAAGCTTAGAAAAGTAATCTTTATTTAAAGCTTCACGAGGTTTGTATCTTTTACCCCAATCGCTTGATCTTCTTTCCGGTGGAAGGGTTCTCGCGTCCCTGGATCAGATTGTAAGGCTCTGAAGAAGGCGTATTCGCCGAAACGTCAGCCGCAAGCAAACGCGAAAACCCATCGACCGTAAAGAAGAACAATCGATTGGGGAACAAGTTACCAACCTCGTGAAGCTTTAAAAAAAGACTAGTTTTCTAAGCTTTTCTTCTCATTTTCGAAAGTTTCTTTTTCGGCTTAGCTAAATTCACGTAGTTCATTAGAATATTTATAGCGGTACCTTTCGTTTCGAGTGTTGAATGTGTGAACTGTACATCTGCGCCTTCCTTATGTAGGGGGTTGGATTCTCCCCGAGAGGAATGGCTAGAGGCGAAAAGCCTGCCCAACTGATCAGACTGCCGAGGCCGAGACACGTGTATCGGGCTGTACAAGTATCCACAACAGGCCACATGCATGGCTCAAAAAATGATTGTCAGGCATATTGAAGTTTGAGCGTGGTTTTAAGCAAACACTCGAAACGAAGTTCAATATAGTCTGATAGATTGTTTTAAGCCATCCAGGAGCGTCGTTTCGCTCTTTCGCAAGCCCCATCAGTAGCTCATGCCTTTCAGCTAACGTCCCTACTATCAGCAGGAATCGTCGCCGAAGACATATCAGTGTACGTGAAGTGAAAAGGTCACTTGATCTGGCGTTTTTCCAGTCAGTGCTTGTCAGCTGCATGGCGTACGGCTGTTACGTGGGCATAAGTAACATACCTTTCAGTCAACTTTCCTGAGACCTCGCTTAAAAATTTTATGTAGTCTAGCGTGCGCCAGAAGTGCCATTCCAGACCTCTTGAAAAGGCTTAAAACATTCTATCAGGCTATAATGAAATAAATACATCGGCTAGCGTTTCGACGCCTTCGTCTTCTTCGTCACTTGCCCACAGTTATCCGACTTTGGCTCATTGGCCTGAAGAAGATGAAACTTCGGAACGTTAGTCAAATAAGTTCCATTCAACAACCTCGTGATTTTAGCTGGCTAGAAAGAGAGTTTTATTGATTAGTAGTACTAAGGTCGAAGAAAAGACGGCTTTCAATAAATGTGTTGGTTTAGTTGGAAAAAGAAATTGCGGCCAAAGAACATGCCCACCGAAGTTCTCCGGCTGAATTGTCTGGAAACATCGCTGGCATGAGCGCTTCGTCTAAACCCCGTTCTATGCAAGAGGTCCACTTAGATAGCGACTTTGATACGCTGGACGAACCGGTTTGGGACACTGTGGTAAGCAGAATTTTCATAGGTTATTAAGTTAATACTAGATTGCTTCAAAAATTATTAATCGACTCCGGAAAATATTGAGAAATACTACGGTAAGCTTCTTCACGAATAATTTCATGTGTCTTTTTAGACATGATGGTCTCATTGTTGCTCTCCTCATGTCAATTTTGGTTTGCATTAATACTGTGTGCTCATGTGGCGCAGTGATGAGGGGCGCCCTACGACGCACACGTGCTCGATTGTTCAAAGTCGCGCTCAAGGTCCAAAAGCCTTCCATCTCTACAGAGTCGGTGAATTAGTGCCAGACTTGTCTGAGAGGATGCAGCACCTAAATTAATGCGTCGATGATCCTGACAGCACACTTTAAGTCTTTCATGACTCCTGTCATAGCAGTTATACAGTGTTAGACACGCGTTTCGGCCTTTCATCCTTATCAATAGCATGGTGCCTTTCGGTTCAGTCGGTTCTTTGTGAGGGGATAAAAGGATAAAGGATAAAGCTCTCGGCGTTGATCAATCCCTGAGGGGTGCGCCATGCATTCGACTTCAGTTTTTAAATTCGTTTGAGGTGATCGAATGCATATCTGGCCTTTACAATGACTCGCGGTGGCCTCCCGCTGAACCGACTCAATGCTGCTTATCCTCCCAGACAAGTCTGAGACCTGTTTGGTACCATTTACCGACTGCGGAGGGATGGATGGCTTGGTGAGCCATGAGCGTGAGACCGAACCACTGACCTCGTGTGCGACGCAGAGCACCTCTAACCACTGCGCCACATGCGCTCAGTAAGGGGATATACCTCTACAAATAAAGGAGTCGATTTCGATCTATTCACACTGCACTTAAGATGGAAGGATCACTTTGACGTTCTTTCAGAGTGATTAGTTGTAGATTGTCGTTTATTTGGCTCACGGCTATTACGCCAGTATACATGTCAACACTTTCAATTGAAGGTGTTGATAGTACATCGATAGTCTACCGTTAGTCATTGTGAAGACCAGATGTGTATTCCAAAAAGTGCATGATTGAGACGAATGCATGCTGCATCCCTCAAGGGTTGCTCAACGCCAGGAGCCTTATCCTTCATCCGTTTTACTCACTATTGTTACCTTATTATTAAGTATTACTTGGAGTTCGTTTTGCTTACAACCATTCTCATTTGAATCCTTTCTTTTTCGTTCTTTCGTCTTCCCTACAATCATTGTTTTCTCATAATGTGTTTTTCAGAGACGTGACCTGCGTGCGACTGCAATGAAATTCGGTCACGTCATTTTTCCGTCATGGGATCGACAACAGCTATTAAAAGATTGGGATCTCTGGGGACCACTGTTCATCTGCGTGGGACTCTCGCTGTGAGTCGTGTTCTTCCAAAAAACGCTCTCTCCTCCATAAATTTAATTATTTTTTCATGAAACTATCCACTTTATTGTGTTTACTTCTCAAAGAAGATTGTTCCACCACAACTGCTTTACTCATTTAGTCTGTTGCATCATAACAATCCGGATGGATCTGCTCCACAATTCACACAGGTGTTTGCCATCACGTTTTTTGGTTCCGTAATTGTTACACTGAATATAAAGCTTCTTGGTGGCCAGATGTGAGTTTTTTTTCTATTCTTTATGCTATACACATGAAATGTCGGACTCTTTCTCAGCAAGGTCATCTAAACTTGACAGGGAGTTCGACGTTTTCACTCAGAAAGCCTAGCTAAAAGTAAGCTGTATCAGTAATGACCGCTGCCCTGGTAGCTAGAAGTCACAAGGTTTCTCCCTCTTGTCAACGAACTGAAGATCGCTGTAATGTGGTTACGGTCTAAGGAATCCCCGGCTATGCTTATTTCGGAACTCCAAAGAGCAAACAACTAAACCAATGCAGTTTCCCTGTGTTTAGTCCCGTACTATCATTAAAGACCAGTCTCCCAAGTTCATATCCAAGTTTACCACATAAAATTGGGTTCAGGAGC